AAACTATTCGACTCTTGTAACTTCTCTTGCTTATCAGGTAATGTTACAGTGTTTCTCAAACAGTGGGGCAGGGCACTATTGTGGGGCAAGGGTGGCCAATTGAGAGGGGGAGGGGATAAACAGACAGTGGTAGCACTTAATAATAATGTCGCACTATTAAGCATGATTAAGGTATTAGCAAGTGCTTAATTCATCATTTATGAAGCATTACTCCTCCTTAGTATGCCATTTATAAATACACATATATTATTATGACTGTGATTATTGTTAGCAGTGATGTAGTAGCAGTGTTAGCTATACAAGGGTAACAGCAACAGATGGATAAACATTTGTGTATATAAATAACATACCAAGGCAGATAATGCTATATAAATGATGAATTTGCTATATTAATGGTTAATAGTGTGACATTACTATAAAGTGCTGCTGAGGTTGCTAATGCTACAAATGCTAATCTGAAGCTTATTTTAAGTCAAATTCAGCTTAGATATTTCTTATTCTTAAGGAACGTTAAACTGTTGTGGGATTTGTGGCACGGTAGAAAGAGGTTTGAGACCCACTGGATTAGAAGATGGATGTCACTCTCATGTCTGCACCATCAATATGAAGCTGCAGCTAGCCGCTAGTTAGCTTATCAGCGTAACATAGAGAGGACTGGAAATCACAAAAACATACCATAATCAACATCTTATATTTCATTTGTGTTGAAAGAGTCCATTTGTAACCCATCATTCATGTTTGTTTGTTTGTTTTTTTTTCACACAATACACTATGAGGCACAAAACTGATGATCAGATCTTTGTGCACATTTCAAAGATGTGATAAAAAGTGTTTGTTTTTTTTCAGCTACACTTCAAAACTATTTAAAACTCCGTGCACTTCCTGTTTGCTTGACACATTTACTACATAGCGCTTCAGGAATATATGCAGAGCACCACAGACGACAGGAAGTGTGCAGAGACCACTGCAGCAGATCTGAATTAAAACAGTCTGCGAGTATTCGACAGTGTTCAAAAAACCATTTTGTCACAGCTGACGTGCAGCTCGGAGTTAAAACATGACACTCGTTTATTCCATAAACTGAAGGTTTCTATTAAACAAGCATAATAATCAAGGGGCTAACAAGGACTGCTGTTCACCTGTGTGAGCTATCCTAAGGCAGATACATGAGAGTGACATCAGTCTCCTCATTCACAATTATTCTATTCAAGGCACAGAAACAATGTTTTTGTTTATCTAAAAAGGGAAAATCCAAATGATAAATGTAAACTAAACTTAGATGTGTTTCATAATAACCTGTGCTACACAGACCTGATGAGAGCACATCTTCAGGCCAGGCTCGGCTGAAAAGCTTCTCCAGTGGCATCGTGCACACACCACATGCAGTTTTTAGTGTGGGCATTCATAAACAGGAGTGCAGATCAGCAGTCAGGTCCTCTGATGGGCTCCCATCAGCATCTCATCTGTGTGTGCATTCACAGCAAACAAGTTGTCTGATCTGTGACACTTAATTAACAAAATGTGTTAATGTCCCTTTCTTTGATGCTTATGTTAATTTCTTTGGATAGAGAATAGGGAAACACACAAACAAATAAGAACATCGGTCAAATACAGTCAGTGCAAATCAGCTGGCATTTCATCCTCCATCTCCTATTGGGTAGAGCATCTCTGTTTCCAGTTCTTTTTCGTTCCTTTCGTTTTTGGGACCATCGCTCTCACCTTCTCTGTCAGCTGGTTGAACACAAAGATATTTAACATTGATGTGTGGTGAGCTGTCAGCGTGCCCCATCAAGTTAGTAATTCAACACATCCTGTTCTAGAAAGCAGGTTCAGTGAGAACTCTGAGTTTGTTAACCCTGATTATGAGAAAAAACCTCTTGGTTTTCAGTTCCAGAAATAACCCATGGGTCAGTTACCACAGTAACAGAGTCTGTGACGCTCGTCTGCTCACTTCAACAAAGCCCGAGTTTCTCTCTAAGCCCTCCCTTCCTGCAGATGACTGACACAGCTTCACTTCCTCAATCATACAGTCGACATCAAAGCTCACTTCAAAGCTCAGTTCATTTGTGACCCCAGTCGAGTATCTACAAATGCAGCGCTACAGTTGATTTGTCAGCCTACTTTGCCTGCAACATTTTACAGAAGTTGTAAAAAAAAAAAAAAAAAAAAAGTTTATTTAGTTTAAATTTTGTTTCATTGTGAGCAAGTTTTTTAACTAAAGAGTCGGGACAGTTGTGTGTTATTGCAGCTAAAACATAATACACGAGTTGGGTCAGTAAAATAAAAACAATATCATAGAAGAAAACACAATGAAGAGGGAGTTCAGTTAACTGACATCTGACAACCTCCCTGTACCCATGATGACGAGCTCTGACACCTCCGGAAATCTTAATAAAAGTGTGGTTTGATAATCATTCAAATAGTTCCAAGTTTTTTCAAGGGCAGCTGCAAAGGCATACACCCTACTTACTAACTTTTAATCCAACTCTATAAGCAGAAATGTGACAGAAACTGCTCAGTTCAGGACAAAAACTTGAAGGGTTACGCCCTGTAGGCTTTTAAAGGGTGAAGAGTTCAACAGAAACTACAAAAGGGTGAAGAATTCAAAAAGTTGAAACATAAATATGATAAAATAAGAAGCTATTAGTTTGTTGTTAATCAAATTCAAACAATTTTAAAATCTACATTTTTAAAATAAGAAAAAACTATGAGGATTACAGAGAGAAATGTACATTTGTGTGGGTTTTTAAAATCTCTTTTAACAGAAATAAGTCAAAACCATTTCAGAATCTCTCTCATATAGAAACAAAGTAACATAAGTGTGATAAATGTGAACAGAACGAGGGATAAAATTAATATTGAGCAGAATGATAGTCGCTAAAAATATTTATATTTAAAGTGCATTGAGTGCGCGAGTAGGACAGTGCTATTTACTGTTGACCAAATTAGCTTCTTCAGTTGGGGTTTAACACGTACAAGTTCACACCTCCACAAACTGTAAACCCAGTTATCCAGTTATGTATTTGCTATTTGTTACAGTTAATTCCTTTTTTAACCAGTCTGTTATCAGCATGAGAACACAGCAATCATCGTGGACTTGTTTTCATCTTAGAATATAATCTATAAACGACATCTTTCTGTGGACTGTGGGGCAGCTGTCAAGTGTTATTAGGTTATTCTGCACTCATTTCATCGCTTTAGCAATCACTTAATCTTTGTTAGGGGTTAGGTTAGAGGTTAAGTTAATGTCTCTGCTTAATGTAGACTTTTTTCCCTTAATCAGAACAAACATAGACATGTAGAACAAAGCTCTACTGCCTAAGTGAAAACACATCTTCTAGTTTCTAAAAATGTGCCTCATTATAACACATGGCTAAAGTCTTCTGCACACATACATGGCTGTTTTGGTAAATGGAGCCTTTTCTACAAGTAGCTTTGGTTCACATCTAAACAGTGTTTTAGATCACTGAGCTTTTAAAAACCTTCAGAAACCATCTTTGTCTTTTTTATGAGGCCAAACGATGCTGTGCTGTTGTTTCTAGACGTCTGATTGGCCAACACTTCTATACAGTTAAGATTATATTGCTGCACTAATCAGTTTATAAAGGGATAAAATGAATATCGAGCAGCATTGAGATTGAGTTTAGCTTATTGGTTCCACCGTCCACAACAGTCCCAAGTTTCTCATGTGGCCCCATGAGAAAATGAATTGCCCACCTCTGATCTAAACAACACTTATAATTTATTGCATTTTAATGCGGACAGATATGTTTTTCAAAAAGAAAGCCCAAAATTAAAATTTTAAAAATAACTCGTGTGCAAGTTGCCTAAGACAAACACTAACCAGATTAATAACTAATGGTTTTGAAGCAATTCTGATCTGCTGTGTCCTCATCTCAGGGCTATTCAATCCAGATTTCAGTGCCAAACTCAGAGTTTGTTTGATAAACCCGCTTTTGTAAACAGAGCCCAGGTACTTCCTTGTTAGAATGACAAGCCAAAAGTTGGTTTGTAAACATGTGCCACTAAAAAAAAAAAAGGAAGCTAATTTATGTTCATGAAAATCATGTGTTTGTTCAGCTTGAAAAGAAAACTGTACTTAGCTGGCTTTGTTGTTGAACAGCACAGTGTTCAAATTAACATAAATTCAGTTGGAAAAAAGGGACACTACAGTCTGAATAAGATGTAGATCTACATTTCACTAACCTCTTCATTATCAGGAAACTCTCCCGTCTTCAGCTTGGAGTAGATTAGCTCACCGTTCACTGACACCTCAAAACTGTCTGCGATGGGGTGAGAAATTCACAAAAATGAAACCGTGTTCATATCATTTCACACACATACTGTCAGCATGACTACTAGCTAAACTGTGGGGGGGGGGGGTTTGTGTGGGGGGAGGACGCCACGTTGAAATACTGATTTATTCCTTCTACCACCAAAATACAGATCTGTGACATGTTTCATGGGTAGGTAAAAATAAGTAAATAATAATAAAAGAAAACTGTATATGTACACTTTTTTTCCCCGCATGAAACTTAAAAAGCGACAGTGAAATATGTTTGTAATTGAAATGGCATGAGTGGATTTCCACAGACAATGTATGACATAAAGACCAGAGCAGCTTACTGTCTTCTCCTGTGAGTCCAGTTACTTTCACACCAGGAACCTGCCGGAGGAGACCAGCTAGATCCCGGTAGCGAAAAGCATAACTTCATCCTTTACTGTGCCACAAACCAACAATAAGGGAACATCAACATTTACCACACCTTTAAGCTCTAGTTTGAAATACAGAAAAAATAAGCAACATAAATGATAAATTAAATGATGCATTTAAAAACAAAAAAATCATCTCAAAGTAAAGCTACATCTTAAAAGCATAATGAATAAGTAGAAAGAAAAGCAAGCGTGCTGATACAGTGTGCACAGAATACATTAGACTTACCAGTATTCAACAGTGACTGTGGCCATGGTTTGCAGCTGCTGAGATGTAAACTCAGTGCTCAGCTTCAAGAAGTGAAACGCCTAGTCACGATCACAGTCGACTATATTAGAAGCAAACCACACCCAGTGGGAGGGTGGATGAGACTTTTTTTTCTTTCTTTCATACAGTTTTCAAGTGACTCTCTGTCCTGTAATGACTGCAGCCACACCTGATGTCCGACTTGTGGGGATGAAGGTTCTGCTAAGAATGTAAAAAATGCAAATCTTCCAGTTATCTACAGTCAAAGTTCTCCTTTCAAGTATCAAATTATGGCACAGGTGAGTGTGACCAGAGGCAGCTCAACAGAGGTTTCTCTGTGTGCGGACTTGATAACAAGCAGCCGCTTCTCACCTCAGGAATCTGTGAAAACAGCACAGCTACTGTTTCCTTTTGCAGAATGACAATCAAGTATTTCTAAGCCTTTCATCTGCACGCAGGGCTGCTGGTAGCTTGAGCGCACCGGCAATATTTCAAGTGTAATTTAACCCGTGTTGGTTAGATGTGCATGCTTGGACTATAACTAAATGTCAGGTGGCAGACTTTACCATGGGAACAACTAATCATTTTCACTTTATCTAGAAAAGGTTACAAAACTGAATTTGGCTTGTTGTATTTCTTAGAGTAGAAATGTAGTTATGTCAGTAGCTCCAAACACTTACACATTCCCAGTTCTTAGTTCAGGACAACTATTTCAATATTCCACTCCTTTTAGTTATGTTTTATAGACACTTTCAGCTGTTTGTCCATTTTTTGGCAACAAACTCCTTTATTCACACTGTCAGTTAAAATTTCAACAGGTGGGTACCTCACTCCTGTCAGCTCAGAACAAGAAACGGTGCATTCACACCAAAACTGGACAACACAAGATTGAGAAAACAATATTACTTGGCCCCGTGAGTCTCCATTTCTGCTGCAACATTTAGCGGGTAGGGTCAGATTGTGAAAGAATACACCCACCTTGTATCACTAGTTCAGGCTGTTGCTGGCATAATGACGCGGGGAGATGTTGTACTTGACACACTTTGAACCTCTTAGCACCAACAGAGCATCACTTAAACACCACAGTCTACCTGAGTATTGTTGATGCCCATGTCCATCATTATAACCACAGTGTATCCATCTTCTGATGGCTGCAGAATAACACACGGCACCACAAATCGTCTCAAACTGGTTCCATGAGCATGACGATGAGTTTAGTTTACTCAAATGGTCTCCAGCCGTAACATCTAAGTCTAATAACTTTAGCATCTTTGGGTTTATGTTCTCAGCACCTTATTGACTGTCTCATAAAGAATTAAGGCAGTTCTGAAAGCGAGCCCAACCCTGTACTAGCAAAATGTACCTAATAAATTGGCCATTAATTACATACAATAATTTAATCAGCTTCCAATTCAAGAATTTTAGCTGCTGGCTATAATATTGGCTAATAATTATCCAACGTTTTACTAATTAGCTACATTAACTCTGAAGTCAGTACCTTGAGTTAATAATTTATAGCTTATTGCTAATTTTAGACAGCTGTAATAACCGTTAATATTACAGCTGTCTGTAATATTAATACTAACATTAATCGTTAGCATTAATGTTTGCTAACGATTCAGTGTCTCCGATACTATTATATACGAGTTTGAACAGTTTCCACAAGCTAACCTACCAGTGGCTAATAATTTCCAGCTTTTTATTAATATTTTACTGCTCAGCCTTAGCTAACCACTACAGTTGGCTAACCTAAATCTTGTTAATAATTTTCAACTTTTAAGCTATAATTTTAACTAGCGGTTTCACTTTTATTTTTTCGTATTATTGATGACGATCAATTAATATAATTTGTCAATTAATTTTTGCTTTCTGGTTAAGCTGTTACCTTTCTTTTTAGGTTTGATCATAAAATGTTAAGGTTCGTTAAGGTCATTTCTCCATACACCTGACTGGCCGTCACTAACGGTGATGCATTTAAAGTGCGTTTTATCAAACCATCTGTCTAAACCCTGAATACATTTAGATTTGTTTTTTCAGAATAAGCACAAAATCACCATGTTCATAATTATTTTGGTTGAAAAATAATAATATCATAACTTAGAATAAAAAAAGAGCAAAATATTGATGTGTACTTACTGTAAGAGCTGCAGGCAGGCAGAAAAATAAGAGTTAGAATCTGAATAGAGACCACAAAATGTTAACACAATGATTATTTTAAGTCTTGGGCGATGTTGCTAAAACTTTAACATTTTATTTGTTTAAAATGATATCCAGTACAAAATGTATACAGTAATACCCTTATGTTTGTCACTTCCCCTGAATAAAATATTTTTATCTGTTCAGCTCATGCCAGGTAACAGTATCTATAAGATACACTAGACTGTATTTTGCTCATACAATAGTTGATGACAAAGATATAGCAATAGTACCTTTGTAACAATAAAAACTATCATCGATATTTTGCTGGACACACTTTCAATACAATAAAATTACATACATTGTTCTGTAAAAGTTGCATTGCAATCTGCCCATACTTTACAAGATCTTTATTCGTGTATATGTTTTCAATAACTAAGAGACAAAACGTTTGATACAAGTCTGTAAAAATGATCTGGTGGCAATCCGCCGTGTAGCAGTGACTCGGTTTCAGCAAGCGATCTCTTCTGAAGCTGCTGTAACAGATATACAATGCACTTAGATTTGTTCTTTTTTTCTTCTTTTTTTGGTAAAACAAGGCAACTTTTCAGACTTCTTAATAAATAAATCCTTTGCAATGACACTGTACCTGTTGATATATCCAGTTTACATATATATATATATATATTCATAAAATTGTACAAAATATTTTAAAACCTTCTCCACACCCTTCCCATGTATATACTAAAAAAAACAAAAACAAAGAGTAAGATGCTTGATTTATGTTCACACAGCATTTTGGTGGGTGGGACAGAAAAACATGACACAGTCTGCATGCACCGGTTTCGATTGAAACATAGCTATTCCAGTTCATTGCACCTTCCTGCTCCTTGGCTATGACTATAATGAATCAGGTTAGTGTCTCCTCGCACGCATCACAGCATCAGCCTCATTGATTGGCGGGACTCTTTAACGCCACCCCCGGCGCTCGGAGGTTCTTCTTGTGGGAATGTCACCTTATCTGGTGTGTAGTCGTTCCTCTTCAGATCTGATGAACATGAAAAATGGGAACAAAGTTAAAGTGTGGTCAATAAATCAGAATTCACGCAGGTTAGTGCAGTTCAAAAAGCTTCACAGATAAGTGGCAACCTAATAACGAAACATGTATGCAATAATGTAGAATACATTTTTTTTAAAAGTAGAAATTTAATTGGCTTATAAGCAGAATAAGAGTACATTAAATACATAGCAATTAAAAATCTATGGATATGTAAATGAAAATAAAGTCTAAATAAAATGAGAATTAAATAAATATTAATAATATTAATATTTAATATATATCATCAGGTGTGAGGTTTTTTTTTTTTTTAAAACAATCATGAGTCAGCGGCCAGTAAGCAACCCTGTTTGTCACTAATTTTATTCTGTTGACGTTATAACGCGACCAATGAAAGGATGTGTGCGCACAAATTGACGCGTGTGGTTTCACAGTAGTATCTTCCGTGGGTGGAGAGGTGATGTAAGGGTTGAAGGTTTGCATGTGCATTTGATTATGACTGGAACTTGTATGTCTAATATGTGTTTGCTTTTTGTTTATAACCCGTTTAGTGTTAAATATTCCTGCCCAGAGACTAGGAATGGAAATATGCAAGAAACTAAATGTGGAACAAAGCATCTTTTTCTAATGTGAGAACAGCTGTTTTGTGACATACTGCAAGGTTTAGATATAACTACTGTGGTAGTGTGGTATTACTGATGACTGTGTGGCAGCAGGAGGTTGGTGTACACCCATTACGATAGCACTCATCCACCTTCCATGATCCACAATGTCTGGCCAGCAGAAAAAAAAATACTTTAGGATGTCATTAAAATCATGTATCAGCTGGGCTTTGGATTTTTTCTTAGTATGTCCCACCTCAGAAGCAGATCAAGTTAAATTTGACTAAAATCCCCTGGACTCTACCTGTAATGGCTCCAGGCCCCACTGTTTGCAAACCACTCATTTCATGTAAGATTAAAGTGAAAATTAATCTAACTAAAGCAACAATTAAATCTCTCTCACCGGGAAGTTTGAGTTTCCGACAGCAGGAGTTGCAGTGGTGTTTTGTACGGAAGTTTCGAATAGCATCGTCTCCCAGGTTTGCAGGTCCAAATATCATATCGTAAGATCTGCAGCAGGCACGGAGACATCATTTAGGACAAACTGACAGTAATGTTAAAACTGAATTAAATATGAAGACAGTATAATTTTAACTTTACCTACAGTCAGTTCTTTGTAATATATTGGGATATTTATAAATTAGAGCTATTTTGTAATATACTGCGCTATTTAACTTTAACTTGCTAGTTGCTCTTCTTACTGTCTTAGGGCAATTGGGACTGCATCACTTCCTCTGAGAAAAATAAAGTATTCTAATTCTGAAATAACATCACAGATTAAAAGGGCAACTGGTTTATGTGAGAAATGGAGCACTCACCCCTTCTCACCGCTCTTTATAACTGAAGGATCCGTCAAAATCTCCCCGACACCTACAGGAGGCACAAGATTTGTTTCACAGCTGACAGAGTAAAGATGAGAACACCTCAGCTAACTGCTCACGTTTGGCAACTACAAGTACAGATGTTATCATTTCTAAACGAGCCCTTTGTCTTGAACTCCATAACTGATTATTGATGGATCCATGCACTGAAAGTGATGGATCCTATTGTTAAATAAATGAACTTGACAGTTTTTGAGGCATTGAAAGATGAGTTGTAGTTGTATTAGGTGGGACCCATCACATGTCCTGAGGGTGTGTGAAGACATTTTACCCTGCAAGTCGAGCACCAGTAGCTCTCCCCGGGTGTACTCGTAGGTCCAGTGGCTGAAGGCCAGCATGGTTTCCTCCAGGAGATTGGTGGGAACGATCTCATCACCATTGTTGTTGTTGAACTTCCTGAACTCGCCGGTAATGCACTCCTCTATAGCGAACCACTGTCCAGCAGAGTGGCAATACAGCAAAAAGACCTCCAGGAACCTGAAAGCACACAGCAGAACAGGCTTCATTCAAAAGCAGTTTGAAGTTGTTGGAAAGGACGCAACAAAATATATCATGCATTAAGTTTTCATTATGGAGACTTGGTATTAGTTAAAAAAATGAACTGCATCTAAAGTTAAACAAACCCTCCTAAACATTTCAAATGACAGAAAGTCTTTGGTGCTCCAGGAAACATTAGTTTGACTTCTTAAAATGCAAATATTAGCACCAGAAATGTGGCAGCTGCTTTGCATTTTAATTTGGAAAGCAGCCGAGCCAGGTGAACTGCAATAACACAAGAAATATCAAGCTCACTAAATGGCTGGATCTCAAAAAAATGATATGAAAATACCACCAAATAACTGAATGATGTGACGCTGGTGACTGAACCCATAAAGTAAAGCAATATCTATGTTAAAAACATTTTAACAAAGACTTTTAGCCCTCATGGAGCACATCACATGAGAACAACAGGAGCACTGTACAAGAAAAAAAAAACGCAAACAGATCAAAAGACGCACACAAACTCTGCTCACTGCCAGTGCAAACGAAACTCTACCTGTTTTGTGAAAGCACTGCACTGGATTAATATAAGCTGACTTTTATTTTGAAGTGGTCTCAGGAAATACTGGCCTGGTTGTTGTTGCCATGACTCATCAGTGGTCATTTTTAGACATTGGTTTGAATTATTGTGACTGATGCGATGACCAGAATGATATCAGATTACACACATTGTGATGGAAAAAGAGGCCGACTGTGGTTTTAATGCTTTAATAAAAAAACCAAGAGTTTGTCCAGCTGACCAGAACTGTTAAAGCTGTAACAAGCTTTAAAAAAAAAAAGGAAGTGAAATCTTTGACTTTTATGCTTTAAGTCCTGGAAATTGAGGCCTGCAAAACTGATACAGATGAATAGTAAACAAAGGGTTCATTTGCTTAACAAATAAAGGAATGTAGACTGGCCTCTAGTTCAGACTATGACAGTAAATAAGAACACAGGATGACAATATTGGCTTTATCTAGCCACCATCTTCCAACAGACTATTTTTATTATGTAGATGTACATGGGTGTAAAAGTGTAAATAAAAATTGTCACCATGACGCACGATCAGCAAGGCTCATGAACAACTTAAAGTTTATGTCGCAGATGGAAAACTTGAACAAGCTTGTAGTCAAGGTCTCAAAAAATATTTCTATGGAAATATAATTAGATTTTTAAAGAACTGATACTAGTACCCAGTGATAACACAGTGACAGACATGCTCATCAAAGTGGATGTAGGATGTTGTACACCCTAGTGAATGACTGACAGAAATAAGAGGAATGGTAGGATATGAAAAATAAAGCCTGAAAGTGGTTCTGTACTTTATGGTTGAATGGGATTTCTGTGTCAGGCACACTCACCTCGGTGAATAGGGGATTGTCTTCGGCCTGATTTGGTTGAAAGCAAATGTCAGTTTCTGAGCAGCTCGTTGTTGTTGAATTTCCTGCAGTGACACAAAGCAGCACTGGATGAAAAGCTTCAAATAACCTTTATAATGCAAAATTACACAAAGCAGTGCATGTGAGGGTTGCCAACAGTGATAAACGAATAAAAATGTTAAAATATTGCCATAAATGACATTATTTTGCTACCCCCAACATGCCAGAGTAATCCACAGGTCAAAATATTTTACCCTGAGACAAAGATGGAGCACAGTGTCCTCCTTGTAGATGCTCTGCCATGTTTGGACCACCTCAGGAAGGAAGGATTTGACTATATACAGGTGTCCTGGTTTCAGGATGTCGTACTC